GCCTATCACCCACCTACACTGTCAACAGCAAGTACCCAGGGAGTAGCCCCACTCAGCCCACGGACGCCCCCGGATGGCGCACTGTGGACCCCACTTCCACACTTCACCGTGCAGAGCCGCCAAGGCCTTTGGTTCCCAGTGAAGCGCAGGAGGGCCAGCATGGGAACATGGTCATGGAAGAGTGTCAGAAACTTACTAGCAGGCCTTTTTCTGGGGGGCTGGGGCTGCGCTGGGGAGGAGGGCGGCCTGCCTTTGCTGGGTGGGGCAGGGGGAACAGGCTGGCTTTTGTTGGGGCCGTAGGTGGCCAGGAGGGGGAGGAGTGTGGGGTGAGGACTGCTTCCTGTGTCTGCCCTACTGCAGCCACCAGCGCCCCTCCCTGTGTCTGGCTAGGCAAGCAGCTGTGGGAAACACCATGCCCATACAACCACGGGCGGCCGCCAGGGGCCCCGGGCAGCTCAAGGATCCTCCTCCCGTCACTGTGGAGGCTGGCCTCACCTGGCCGGAGGCTAACTGAGTTCCCGTCTGGGCTCATTTGCTAAGCATGTATCGCCACGTTGCTGCACACCACCGCGGTGCGCAGTAGGTCACCTCATTGTCACAGAAATCTTTGTAACTTAGTCCCAATTATGGGCCACGTTTGACAGAAGTTTGCAATGGCTACAGAAGCATCACAGCCGTGGACGGGGTTGAGGGAGACAGGAGACACCATGGACAGGGCACGCTGGTCAGGATGGTCGGAGTGACACTCCTTCATACAGCTACTCAGAAGGTAGTGACGAACATTGTGAAAAAGAATTCACAACAGGGTGGGAAGACGGCTGGAGACTCGTGTGAGAGTGGGAGTGTGCACTGGGGGCCTCGAGAGTGCCGCACGCTGCGCACGCCCAAGGCAGGCCGCACGCCCAGCACACCCCAAGGCAGGCCGCACGCCGCGCACACCCAAGGCAGGCCGCCTGCCCCGCACACCCAAGGCAGACCGCATACCTCGCACGCCCCAAGGCAGACCACATACTCCACACACCCCAAGGCAGACCGCCGACCCCAAGGCAGACCACCTACCTCGCACACCCAAGGCAGACCGCATACCTCGCACGCCCCAAGGCAGACCACATACTCCACACACCCCAAGGCAGACCGCCTGCCCCGCACACCCAAGGCAGACCGCATACCTCGCACACCCAAGGCAGACCGCATACCTCGCACGCCCCAAGGCAGACCACATACTCCACACACCCCAAGGCAGACCGCCGCCCACCAAGGCAGACCACACACCCCGCATACCCCAAGGCAGACCAGCACCATTCCCCGGGGGCCTGTGTCCTGCCCACCTCCCCCCCCCAGTTCCCTCATCCATGAGCACCTCGAGAATAAGAGGGTCTGTGTGGCCAGATATCCTAACAGGCCTCAGGCCTCAGGAATGCCCGGCGCTGAGCACACGCACCACTCTCTGGTCCGGCTTGATCTTCTTCATGTCGCCGTTGAAGAACCGGATGAGTGTGGTCTTCTTGTCCGCACTGATCTCCTTCCTGGTGCCGTTGGGGAACGTGATGATGGTGCGGCCATCACTCAAAACCTGCTCCACCTCACGGAAACACACACACTCTCAGACGGAGAGGGAAACGCAAGGCCCTGCAGCTTTCCTTCCATTCAGAACTACTCTCGGCCTATCACCCACCTACACTGTCAACAGCAAGTACGGTAGCTAGGTTAATAAAACACCCCTGACTCGTTCAGCTCCAGATTTCCATCTTTGGAAGTGGTTGTGAACAGAAGGTGGTGATTTTTGTCAGGTCTGCGTGTCCTTGCCTGGCCAGTCACCATCAGTCTACCTGGCATTGCTGAGCTGTGGGCCACACAAACTGTGTAACCACTGAGCAGAAATTACCTCCTGTAGATCTGTCCGTCTCCCCATCCCTCCCTCTCACCCATCCTGCACTGTCCCAAGTCCAAAGATTTGTTGACTCGAATTAACAATCTGAGAACATGACACTTCACAGGCATGATGCTGCCCTAGGCATTTGGCAAATGGTACCTTTCCCTTCCAAGGGGAAACACTCGCATCATGGTTAGTTAGCACGAGGGAAGTGCTGGAGTACATGCACAGGTGAAAGTTCAGAGTGGAAAAGCGGTGTTGTTCATCTGTGGCATTCTTACACTCCATGCAGCTTGGGATGCAAGCTTCTGAAACCATCCTCAGCAATCCACCAAACAAAACCAGTGCTGTGCACACGCGCTGGCCAGCCTGCAGCCAGCCTGCAGCCAGCCTGCGGTCTCAGGTTCCAACCAAGCCTACGCGTTACCATACCACTGCCCAACAGACCAGGTGAATGAGACAGGTGTGTGCAATTCACAGTTAGAAGATGAATTCTCATTTCCAGCAAGGTTTGAATAACAACTACCATTCCAGAATGAAAACACACACACACACACATTAAAAACTATTCCACATAAAATCATAGAAGCAGCTGGGCACCAGTGGCTCACACCTGTCATCCTAGCTACTCAGGAGGCTAAGATCTTAGGATCACAGTTCAAAGCCAGCCTGGGCAGGGAAATCTGAGACTCTTATCTCCAATGAACCACCAAAAAACCAGAAGTGGTGCTGTGGCTCAAGTGGTAGAGTGCTGGCCTTAAGCTGGAATGCTGAGGGACAGTGCCCAGGCCCAGAGTTCAAGCCCCACAGCCAACAACAACAACAACAACAAAATCTTAGAAACAATCACAGCCATGTAGACTGACCACATGACCTGGCCGGTGGTAGACCGGGCATCAGTGCCCGGGCGGGGCTGAAGTCCCGAGCATCACTCGGTGCTGGGTGGAGAATGAGTATGACAGAAACCTACCTTGCCGCGTGGGTGCTGCTTTTCCTGGGTCTTCTCCTTCTCTGGTGCAGTGGTCACCTGGTCCACGGGCTCTGAGGAAGGCCCTGGGCTTACAGGGAGAGTCTGCAGGGAGAACGGAACCACTGCCCCGACGGTCACACGAGAGGAGCAGACCTGCCGCGCTTGCCCCCGGAGGCGTTCCTCTCCGGGCCGGCCAGATCCGGCCCGGACAGGCCAGGGCGCCAGCAGCTCGGCTCAGCTCTGCAATTCTTATCACCCAGGCCTGGAGACGGACCCCTTGCGGAGGGGAAAGCCCGGCTGCCGCTGCCTCCCCAGTGAGGTTGGAAAGGGAGTGGGGTGGGGGGATCAGAGTCGGAGGCCAGGCTGCGATGACGTCACCGCCACTGGCGTTAGCCTCATAAACACGTCACAGCTCAAATTTCCTCCCATGGAAAAGCTTCCATTTGATTGTCATTGCTAACCAAGTAGCCTGTGGTACACAGACCAGCACCTGTGGGTTACCGGCATTTGGCTAGATTTGCTTCTGCATTCATTCGCATTGGGCATTGCAAATAAAATGAAACTTTGGTTTGGGGATCTCTGAATTCATGAAAAATATCCATTTGTTTTCTAGCTATGTGTTAAACGCAAGCAGCTTCAACCTGCATGTGGGGGGAGGGGGGTCTCTGCTTCTTAGGAAGGCCATGGAGTGCAGAGGGGCCTGGGTCTCACACATCTCCAGTGCTGGCAGGAAGGCAGGGCTGTGCCGTGACCCCTGCAGCCCCCTCCAGACCCCCACCCCCGAAGCAGGTGGGTACCTCCATGGGGTGGACCCACTCACCTGCAGCTCTGTGTCACGTGGGACCGAGTCGGGGAACTCGCCGGCTAGAACCGGGGCCAGGTCCAGAAGCCTGTCTTCAGAGCCCTCTGAGATGGGAGAGCACGTGTCTGAGGGTGGAAGAAGTCACATTTCACACTTGGGGGCAGAGCTGGGTGGGAAAGATCATGACCCCGCCGTGGCTTCCACGTCCAGCCTGAGCTGTGAGCGTCTCCCAGCCCGTCACCACGGGAGCATCAGTTCTGTCCCATGAGCGATGGAGTGCGTGAGGACAGGTGTCCGGAGGAAGGAAGCGATCCGAGTCTGCCGGGCCTCGCTCCTTTTCCCAAGTGCCCTCAGCTCAGGACATGGTCCTCCCAGAAGCCATGCCTCTGCCTTGCAGCCGACAGCACAGAGGAGGGGACGCAGGAAGAGAAAAACAGCGCAGAGGATGGAGGCAAGAGAGACAAAGGAAGGAGGACTTCCACGGGCTTCCAGAAGAGTCTGGGGAACCGATGAAGTCACCATGGACCTGAGGATGCCTAGGCCCACGGGGCGGGGGGGGGAAGGGGGGGAGCCTAGCGGGAAGGGGAGGAAGAAGAGGGGAAAAGAGGAAGAAATCTCAAAGACACAACTGGTAAACTGAGGTCTCGCTCTGGGACTGGGTGGAGGGCAGGAGTTGGCAGGGGAGGAGGGCGGCCGGCGGGCTCAGGCAGAGAGGTAGATGTGGCCCGGGGGAGTCCGTGCTGCAGCAGAGCGAGGGGGACCTGAGAGTTTGGCCTTGCCCTCCTGGGGTGCAGCCAGGGCCCGCAGGTGCCGCGGTGTTGGGGGGAGCGCGGCCACACTTCCCTCAGCGCCGGCCACTATGGTGACCCCGCGCAGAGCAGCCGGACCTTGGAGGGGCCGGGCGGGCACCGCAGGGGAAGCACAGGCCGGCAGACAGGAAGGGGAGCACCGTGGGCCCTGGGACCCCGCCACCGGCCTGTGTGTGGGTGCAGGAAGGAATGTGGCAGGGCGGATGGAGAGGGTGAGACAGAGGATTCGGGCACCGCCCACCGCGGCGGGGCGTCCCCGTGGACGGCTCTGTGCACGCGTGCACAAGCTGCGGGGTCGCCCACGCTCACCATTCTGGACAGCTGCGGCCACGGCCTCCTCCGGCGGGAGGCGGGAGGCCGGCGCAGGCCACTGTCCGCCCCGGGGCTTCCGCAGCACGGGCGGCGGTGCGTGTGCAACCTGGGAAGAAGCCACAGAGCCCTCCGGTCAGTACCGCCCTGCCACTGCAGACCCCAGCCTGGGCGCTGCTCAAAGTAGCTGGCTGGACTCCACCATGAGCAGCACACTCAGTACTAAGAGCTAAGTCCTTCTCATTTTTAATCAGAACAAGCCCAACTGTAGAACACAGTAAAGCAAATATTTGATTCTATGGACTTTAAAAAAGAAACAAACATTAACAACATGTCTGGAGAAACTGTTTTTACCCATAGCAACATAATGATCTTAATTCTGAGGTCAGTTCTGATACTGAGTCTGGTTTCCTGCTAGACACCCCCCCCCCGCTGACACGTTCCCGTGTCACCTCTCTGTGGTAGGACTGCCTCTCCTCCCGGGGACTCTCCCCTCTGGCGGGCGCCGTTCCTGTGTCCTGAAGACTTCTGGAAGAGGTTTGATTTTTGTCCTTCCTGGGTGTTGCTTTCTCTGAGTTACTTTTTATTTTTATGTCTACTGGCTACAAAACAAAGGTGTGGCATATGTTTGCATTAGTAACTCTCAGGTGATCCCAAACTCGTGGTCAATCCATGCTACTGGCTGACCACCATCCAGCAGCTGCTCTTGGTCCATCCCGTCCTGTTTCCCAGCCCCCGTGGGACCCATGGTGCAGGAAAGAGGAGACATTGTGGCAGAACGTAAACCATCATAGAACTTGTTTCTGCCCTCCTGCTATTCAAAATTTGATGGCTTTGAGGTGTGCTTTAGCCTCTGTTCTCCATTCGTTAGTCTGCACAGGTGTTAAGCAATCTTATTTCATTCATCTAATTCCCTCCAGAGCATTACAACATGGTCCCCAAACAAAAGACAGAGGGAACCCAGCGGGCAGCCATGGTACAGGTAGAGACAGCTCATGCACAGGACTCCAAGCCAATGGTAGGAGAGTCTCGGGCTGCTCTCCAGGGAGAGCATCTGAACAGAGTGCCGGGACCCAGTGTGGGCATCAACATGGGCATCAGCATGGACAGTGGAGGAAGGCATCAGAGGCCTGGGAGCCTTTGTCAGATGTGCTTGGTGGTGGTCTACGAAGCAGCTGAGGCTGGGGGCGGGGCAGGGGACGCTCAGCAGGAGGTGGCATTGCAGGAGGAGGGACGGGTGCAGATCTCTGCTTCTCTCCAGAGCTCGCAGAGGGTTGCCTTGGGTCTCTACATTTTTAGATAGTCCATCAGGGTTGTGATTCACTGGGTCAATGCACTCTGGCATTATGCCTTCACCAGCTGGTGGAGACTTTTTTTTTCAAACATCAAAGCAATGAATCACAAGTAAAACTCAGAGGAAGACATTCAGCTATAAGGTAAATTTGAAATTTTTATCCACACAACAATAATTTTAATGTCTTCAAAGAAGCAGGGTGCAAGGTGTATAGATGTGGGCTGGGTCTCCCTAGGATGTGGGGGGAGAGTCACCCTGTTTCAAGGCAAGCACACACCAACCATGCTATGCACTGGTTGCCATTTCAAAGTAATCACAGGGCCCAGAGAACAGACTTTGTTTCCTTGGAAACAGCATTCTTTACCCAACAGTGTGCTAAGGATGGAGAAGATGTAGCTCTGAGTCTGGTGGACCTGTGTCAGGTGGTACTCTGTCAGGTGGCCCTGTGTCTGGTGGCTCTATGTCTGGTGGATCCATGTCTTGTGGCCCTATATCTGGTGGATCTGTGTCTGGTGTCTCTGTGTCTGGTGGATCTGAGTCTGGTGGATCTG